GGTGCACCTCTCAGCAACTGCTTTGGGTTTATTGATGGAACAGTCAGACCAATTTCTCGCCCAGGCCAACACCAAAGAATAGTGTACAATGGCCATAAACGTGTACATTCCCTCAAGTTTCAGTCCGTCGCTCTACCAAATGGACTCATTGGAAATATGTATGGGCCTGTCGGTAAGTTATGTTCACTGGGATGCCATGAATATAAGCTGCCACATAAGGTTTCTTTAATTTATTAATTTTATTTATCCCTTTTTGTATGCAGAGGGGAGAAAACATGATGCAAGCATGTTGGTAGATTCCAATCTTCTCCAGGAATTGGAAAGGAATGCATTTTCCCCAACTGGCCAACCCATGAGTGTTTATGGTGATCCCGCCTATCCGCTGCGAATACACCTACAGGCCCCATTTCGCCATGGTGTCCTAACACCGATGATGGAACAATTCAATTTTGACATGAGTTCTGTTAGAGTAACGGTGGAGTGGCTCTTTGGTGACATCATCAACGACTTCAAGTTTTTGGATTTTAAGAAAAACCTGAAAATTGGAATGAGTAGTGTGGGAAAAATGTATCTTGTATGTGCACTTCTTAATAATGCTGTTACCTGCCTATATGGAAACAAAACCTCAGAGTTTTTTGGTCTAGACCCTCCTTCATTGCAGTATTATTTTAGATAAATTCTCTCTTATAAACCGAGCAGAAATGAAGGCCATTATAATTCAACATAAATTCATTAAGTACTTGAATTCTTCTTGGTGGTCAACAATGCAGAAGTGATCAAACTTGTAACAATAACAATGAATGAACTTGTCATTCTTTCTTCTCAAGAAGCTTTTGAATAACCGACAAAATGGCTTGATTTGTTTGTTGTTGTTGCTGTAAGACAGTCACCATCACTTGCTGATTCTGCTCTTGCTCTAGTCTTCTTAGGTCCAGTTCTTGTTCTCGTAATTCTCGCTCAGTCTTGACTTTCTCTTGCATGAATTGAACTAGTGGTTCGGTGCGAGCACTTCTCCTTTGGCGCTTCGATTTCTCCTGGCATCCATCGCCATTCTCTGTTGACTTGCGCTTTTTCGTTTCACTGTATCGCTCTAAAGCTTTCTGCCTTATGTCCTCTGCCTTGCTTTTATCTTCTTTTTGCTTTCTTGACTGAGCATCACCAACTTTGTTTAAGCTTTCTTCTTTCCCGACGAATTCTTCAAGCAAAACATCTATTTCAGACATGTCGTCCACAGATATTCTACATGCAGTTTCTTCTTGATGCATCTTAGTCTTATACTTCTTCTGGAGAAGAACCCATCGGTCTCTTACTGCCCTTTTATCTTTGAGATGAAAACAGAGTGTCTTCACTTGATTTAACTTTTCTGTGATCGATTCCCACCTTTCTTCCCTGGCAAAACTTCCATTTTTGAACGAAAACAAATCGCTCGCCAGAATTTCTCGAAGCAAAATAACATCATGATCTTCAGTCCACTCCATAGCTCTAAAAGCAAATTACGACAATTCATCTATTTGACCGATGGTCGAGGAATAATGTAAACTTATTAAGACAAACATAAAGATATTTTCCGCTGAAATTTCTTCGAAAGACTCAATAGTTAAGCTTACTTTGGCTTTCCATCGGAAGCGAGCGCCGACATCTTTTCCCCAAAGCTACGAGAATTGAAAATGTCCGTGTGTTTATCTATGTTTGAGTATACAATTTGAACAACGTGAAATAAAATAACTCTAAAAAACTAACAAGAACAAAATAAAATGTTATAACAAGTTTGAGACAAGCTAGCGAGGGAAAAATACTCACGTTCTGGATACAACGCCAAAACTGATAAAGGTTCTCACGTTCGTCCGGAACAAAAGGTCTCTTCCGGTCGCCGTCGCCTTCGCAAAACATTCTTTTATATTTATGTTCGTTCTCACTTCACTCATTCAAGTTAAGTCAAGTCAATTTTTATTTAAACTTACACAGAAATAATAATCATTATTGACTTAATAATGACGCTAAGCGAACGTCGAAATGTCGTAGCATTTGTCTTAAACCTTTAACCAAGATGGTTTTTAATTTTTAAACTTTTCAACCTAATCGCAATTCTTTAAAGTTAAAAAGTTTTCAGGGCTTTGAACAAATGTTTCTCAACCCTAGTCCGAGTCGAAAGCTGCCAATGCCATAAGGTGCTATCGCTGAATGAATAATGTTGGGCGGCAACCAATTTTTCTCGGAGTAATTTCTACTAATTCGTGTCGACAGCATGCTTCGTCAACTAACATACTCTGTTTTAAATTAGGTGCGGTTCATCAACATTGGAGATCTATAAGAGATGATAAAATAAGGAAAGCAAACAACAGCTTTAAGAAGCACCGATGGCGAATCAAGCGAAGCAATCTTTTAAAGAGGGTAAGTATTTTACATCAATTATATAAGGCCAGATTGTTAACGTTTACTACTTTGTCTCTTATGTTTTGAAACAAGTCACTTAAATCCAGTACAACAAGAGAAAATATGATTAATACAGTTATTATTTTTTTCTTGGTAACAACTCTGCGCGTGTATTAAATCAGTTGCTTAATAGCAGCCTCCGCTGCTGTTTAACTGCTACAATGTCAACATGGTTTTCTTCCAAAGCTTGAGCTAAGTGGCTGATTTTTTGTGTCTTTCGTCTATTTCAATCTTAGCAAGCTCATAATCGAGCTTTTCGTGTCACTGAAATGGCAGTTATGGCAACTTTGGCAATTATTTGACTTCTCAATAGTGCTCGC